TAATGATCACTTTGTGGGCAGTGGAATCCCACAAGCGATACCCCTTTACTCCATCAGCATACCCCAAGAATTTGCATTTCTTGGATTTTGGATCCAGCTTTGAAGTTTCTTGGGAGTTGTACATCACGTACACTATACTTCCAAATACATGGAGGTTTGAATAATCAACTGGTTTTCCAGTCCACATCTCCATTGGTGTCTTTAGCTCTATTACAGTTAATGGAGCTCAATTCACCAAATAATAGGCGGTATTGACTGCTTCTGCCCAGAATGATTTTTCTAGGTCTGTATCCCTCAACATTGCTCTTGTTCTTTCTAACAAGGTTTTGTTCATCCGCTCTGCCACTCCATTTTGTTGAGGAGTGTTCGCCACTGTGAATTGCCTTTTGATGCCTTATTTCCTGCAAAAGTCATCAAATTCTTCGCATATGTATTCTCCTCCATTATCTGTTCTGAAACACTTGATCTTATTTCCAGAATTAAGTTTCATCCGTGCTTTGAAGTTTTTGAAAGTTGAAAACAAGTCTAACTTCCTTTTAATAAAGTACACCCAACATCTCTTGGAGTAGTCATCAATAAATGAGACAAAGTATTTTGCTCTGCCTAGGGATGTAACTGGTGCTTGCCATACGTCAGAGTGAACCAATTCTAGAACACTCTTGCCTCTAGAATTTAATGTGTTGAATTTCAATCGGTGCTGCTTACTTGTTATGCAATGCTCATACAAAGTAAGTGATACATTTGTTAAGCCTGGAAGTAGCTTTTGCTCTATAAGGACTTTCATTCCTTGTTCTGACATATGTCCAAGTTTCTGATGCCATAGCATTGCAGAATCTGAAATACATGAGGCAACAGAGGCTTCTACTTCTATTAAAGTTTCTCCCTTCAACATGTACAAGTTTGCTGCAATCTTTTCGCCTTTCAACACCACAAGCGCTCCACGAAACATCTTCATGATTCCTTTTCGTGTTTCAATCTTGCTTGCATTATTATTCAACAATCCGTAGGATAATAAATTTTTCTTCAGGCTTTTCACATGTCGCACATCTCGAACAACTTTAATTGTTCCATCATACATCTTCAATTTGATGGTTCCCATGCCAATGATCTCTAAGACATGATCATTGCAACTATACACAGATCCTCCTGAGACAGGTTCAGACTGATGAAACCATTCTCTTCTTGAGGTCATGTGATATGTTGTTCCCGAATCAATGAGCTATATATCTGCAAATCTTTTTCTACCTTCCACGGTGGTTGATGCTTCACAGCATAGAGGATCTCCATCATCTGAAGTGTTTACAGTATTGCCTTGTGGATTGGAGTTTTTATTTATACTCCAACAATCATTCTTCAAGTGACCCTTCTTTCTACAGTTGTAGCACTTTAAATTCTTTTTGCTTCTCGACTTCGATCTACCATCTTTGTGACTGCTGCTTTGGCCACGTTCTGTTGATCTCCCTCTCATCGTTGTCAACGCTTCTGTTCATTGTAGATTTACTTGTCTGTCTTCCTTGTTCTTGCGCCGATTTTCTTCTTGGAGAACAGCAGCTGCAACGTCATCGAAGACTAGACTGGTGACATTACTGTTTGTTAAGTTGAAGATGAGTTGATCGTACGAATCAAGTAAACTTTGAAGTAGAAGTTTAGCACGTTCTTGTTCTCCTATTGTACATCTTAAGGATGTAAGCTGAGAAAATAACGTGTTCAGTGTGTTTAAGTGCTCCGTCACTGAAGTAGATTATGACATACGGAGAGTGTACAATTTCCTCTTAAGGAAAATTTTATTGTGCAGCGATGTGGCCTCGTACAATTTGGTGAGATGATCCCATATCTCCTTAGTTGTCTTCTTCTCCTCGATGCTTGACAATACTTCATCTGCTAATGCTAGATGAAAGTTTGCCATAGCATTCCCGTCCATTTCGATCCATTTGTTGTCATCTGTGAAATCCACCGACCTTTCACTAATAGATGCTAGACAACCGTCTTTTCTCAGGATGACCTTCATCTTCAATTTCCACAATGAGAAATTTCTCCTATTGAATTTTTCAATATCAAATTTTGTTGTCATAGCTTCTTTTACGGATAGCTCTCATTATTTCACTATCGTGAATAATTCTCTAGAACTTTCAAAGAATGGGTAATAACTTCTTACTTTCTTATGTTGGAGGATCCACCTTTTGGTGGCAACCACAAAGACAATAAGCAGATATTACACACTCTAATCTGGCTCTGATATCAATTGTTGTGGAAGACGGCTATCGCATAGAGCAAAATCGCAACTAATAATTTGAGAAAATAAAAATGAAGATAAAAGAGACACAAAATTTACGTGGAAAACCCCTAAATAATATAGGATAAAAAACTACGGGCAATGGTAGAAGAATTTCACTATGAGAAAATAAGAATTACAACTTCTCTCGATCTACCAAGGAGAAAACAATGATAATTCTCCCTTGATAAAAAGGAGAAAACAACTCTCAAGAAACTCTCTAAATTCTCTAGTATTGGGAGAAAGCTAGAATACTTTGGGATGGTTTTGAAGCTAAATGGATTAGGGTATTTATAGTTGAAGCTTAAGGACTAATCTTATAAATACCCTAAAGTTTAATGACTAATTGCATAGTTTTACCATCCAAAATTTTCAATAATTTGGTGGCCAAATTTGATCAATTTTGTCGCCCATTAAGCTTCCATTTTTTTGACTAATTTAAGCTTCCATTTGTTTTTTCACAATGCACCGAGAGTGCATTTGACTTTCAACATTTCCCTTTTCTTTTCCATTGTGAAAAATTATTGCATGTACAGATTATGTCTTTTTCCACATCATCTTCTGCCGAAAGGCCTGCCTTTTGTGACCTATCAGACTCGGTATTTTAATTTCGTTAAAAGTATTTGTGTCCGATGTATGTTTAAATCATTTACACCACCAGCATAAATGTAAATATATAATTTTTTTTGAATATTTGAAATATTTATTTTCGAGTTCAGATAATATAGCTGAAGAATATGCAAGGGGTGCTGTCTTGTAATGTCTTTGCACGTTTCCAGGCATACAAAAGCCCATTTCCCCGAGTAGAAAGATTACATGTAGGGACAAACATAAAATTTTATATCGATGAAATTATTTTTAAACTTTTTAGTAGACGTGATTTTATAAAATTTTAAGAGACGAAAAATATATTATAAAGTATGAAAAATAAAATTTTTTAAAATATATAATAATTTAAAATTTTAAAGACTATTCCATCCGCAGGCATTGTAGTTTGGTTATGCAGGAGCGAGTGAAGAGAAGTTGGGGAGGAAGTCAAGGCATGCATGCGAAAGCAGCCAAGCAAAATAGCATGAAAGTGATGAAACAGAGGAAGGATGATGTGTGCATTGAGGCTTTTGTGATTTATTAATGTTAATATACTTTAAAAGATAAAAAGAGTGCATGAGGCTGATGGATGCCCAAGAGACGCGGTTTTAGACCTGCCCCACGGTGCAGCAACAGCTGGCCTTTTCCTCTTATTGTTTCTTTTTCATTGCCATTGGCTCTCTCAAGTAATGTTTTTCCTTTTTAAGATACATCATAAGATAAACACTAATTTTGACGTTTTTTTATGAAAAAATCATATAGAAAAAATGAGAATTTTTTTACTATCAAGAATAAAATAATACAAGAAAAATTATCATTCACAACTTAATGCTTAATTTTAATATTTAATATCTATTTATAGAGATAATTATTTGATTACAAAAGAATTTTATTTAACATAAATCTGTCCAAATAATTTTTTTTACTATTAGTCAACATAAAAAGAAATAGAATTTTTGCTTTCAATCAAGTTAAGATTTTCTATTTTCTTCGATCAATTTAAATTAAATCAAATCTAAATTAAACTCTAATATGATAGTTATATTCTATTTATTTGCAAATATAGATATGTGATGTGATCTTTTAAAAATTTATTTATATATATAGATTCAACACTCACATTTGGAGTAACATGATCACAATACTTCCAAAACCCACAAAAGCATGTAGATCTTTCAATCAAGTTGTCAACGAAGAATCCTATGTTTCTCTCTCTTTTTCTTTTCAAGCTCACATTAGCGAGAAATTATTTTATTACTGAATCACATCCATTAATTTTAAAATAATTTTCAAATAATTGCTAAAAAAAAAAGTAAAGAAAGATGAGAAGATTCACCTTTAAAAAATGAAATGAAAAATTATTATTGGTTGAGGCCACATGTGCAGTAGTAAAATGGATCTAACAAATAATTTTTCCACCTTAGCATATCAAATGGACAAAAGGGTATCTAATAATCTGAACTTACATGGACAGTGAAAACACAAAATGATAAAAAGAAACCGATATGAAAGTTTTGTGGTTTACCATTGTCTACATCTTTCTAATGTGAATTGCAGGGGTGACTCTAGAAACGCCCATTCTAACTTTTTTTAGTTATTTAATTTTTTTTAATTAATTAATAGTTAACGAACACACCCTGCAAGCTTAATTGTTCAAACTTAAAGATATGCAGAAAAAAATAATACTCTCTTTCATTATTGATATCGTTCAATAAATTTAGTGCTGCAACAAGATGATATTCAACTGCCATTTCCAGAGCAGATATAGGATGAACCATTCAAAAATGATTTATAGCTGTAAATTTGTCAATGAACAAAACTATTTGATCCCTCATGAACAAGTAGGATGAGAGCGCATGAGGTTTTCAGATTGACATTTCTCCACTGCATGTGTCATCCACATGTTTGGTGCAAAATATTTACTATATACCACCAGCCATTGATATATCTGTCAGTCAGCCATTTCTCTGTATTTTGTTTTCATGTGGAACCATACGGATTTGACCATGGGTTCTTCTTCCCACTTTAAAAATTTGAAGCCTTCCCCACATCTACAAATACTCCCCACTTTCACCTCTTTCCCTCATTGCACTCCTCCGTTTGATCCTTCAACGACTACACATTGTAAATTGTTCATTGATTGCTTAGCTTGCCAATGGTGAAGAATGGTCGGCAAGAGATACAAGCAGAGCCAATGACATCTCCAACACCGTTATCATCATCGTCATGCAAGAAGTATAAGGGTGTGAGAATGAGGAGCTGGGGTTCTTGGGTGTCCGAGATTAGGGCACCCAATCAGAAAACCAGGATTTGGTTAGGGTCTTATTCAACAGCAGAAGCAGCCGCTAGAGCCTATGATGCTGCACTGCTATGCCTCAAAGGTTCCTCTGCAAATCTCAACTTCCCACTCACATCCGCTCATCGTTACATCCCCGATACCATTATGTCTCCTAAGTCAATCCAAAGAGTTGCCGCCGCCGCCGCCGCTAATAGTTTCGTTGACAATGGCAGCAGCAGCACCACCACGCCACCAATATCTCCAACACCATCATCATCATCATCATCATCATCATCAGTTTCTCCCCCATCAATGTCCTCTTCCCCGTTTGATCCACCGCTTGAGCCTGTATCCATGATGGAACCATCATGGTACAGCTCCTTTGACAGCCTGCAATCTCAAAAGTACGTTGATCAGATGTTCAACTTAGCCCCATTTGATCCACCGGCAGTGTCGAATAATGATTTTTATGAGGAACTAGGCGATATTCGTCTATGGAGTTTCTGCTAAGGCACGGCACCATTCTTTTTCGTCTTCTTGTATTCATTGATGATCAAATTCATATTTAAAGATTACGTTTTAGTCAGGGAGAAGAAATCCACATGGAGATGAAAACATTTTTTTGGAATCTCAAATGGGGATTTCTACGTATTCAATTTATGTATAAATTAAAGGGCATGTTACCTTTGTAATGGGGAATAAGTATTTTTTGTTATTAAATCCTTACTTGTTCAATGTTAGGGTTCTTTCCATTTATTTTCAACAGGACTCTGGAAACTTTGAGGGAGTACCCTGTTTATCATTGTTAAAAATGACCGTCAACTGGGACATATATGTAGTTGCTGTTTTCCTTAATCAAAATTTCTTACGCCACTCCACTGGTGACGGATCTAGAAATATTTTTAGGATAAATACATATATGTTAATAGTATAAAATTTTTGAATGAGGTAATAATAAATAAAATTTCAGGGTGGAACCATCAAGAAAATGAGTCACTAATAGAAGAAAATTGAAATTTCAGGGTGGGCACAATAAAATTTCAGAGTGAACACCATCAATAAAATAATTGACTAATCGAAAAAATCTGAATTTTAGTACCCACCCTCAACCATGAGTGCATTCGCCACTTACCCTCCCCATAAACAACCTTAATAATTTTCATTAATGCACTCCAACTTCTAAATCTTTGCTAGATTTAGGGTTTATTTGTTTCCATGTAATTAGTTTTTGAAAAATATTTTTCTAATTTTTCAGTGTTTGGTTGGCGGAAAATATATGGTCAATGTAATTCATTTTCCTAGTCGACTGAATTTCCTTTGCTTTTTTTGAAAAATGAATTACGGTTTGATTTTTCGTAAGTCATTTTACGAATTTTTCACTTGAAAGTATAAACACTCAAAACATTATTATTTTATATATTTAACATTAATATATTATTTTAGTATCATTTAAATAAGAATATTAATTATTAAATTATATTTATTAATAATTTTAATAATATAATATAATATTTTTATTGTTATAATTATATTATTATAATATATATATATATATTATACTTTTGTTTTAATAATATATAATAAATTCTTAATAAAATTAATTTTATTTATTAATTTCATAAAATGATATTATAGAATTATTGAATATGTAAAATATACTCTTTAAAATGTAATATAATATTTTTATTTTAATATTATAATTTTAATAAGTAATTAATATAGTTAGTAATATATTATTCTCATTGTAATAAATAATTAATATAATTTATAAGAATTTTATGTTAATAAAATATAATAACCTTAATACTTTTTATTTATAAAATTATAGATATAATATACTAATAATAATATTTACATAAATAATATTAAATAAATATTCTAATATTTTAAAAATATTATGATTAATTTATTAGTAAATAATATTATTTTTTGTATTTGATGTTTATGAAAAATGAATTACACAATATCATCTAAATACCATAAAATGATTTCTAAAAAATATTTTTCAGAAAATATAGTTAATTTTACGGAATTCATTTTTCGGAAATGAAAGTAAATTATGAGGGCCAAATTATTTAGAAACATGATCGAACCATGTGGGGGAAGCCAAAATTGCATATGCCGTGTCCTGTGCGGAATGGGTTGCCATCCCCTATTGTTCCTTCTAAATTGTATTTGGTACTCCCTTCAGGTTCATTGCTTTCATCTCTAATCTGCACACTTTTGACTGTTTGTTGAAAGGACCCCTTCTCTTATCTTCTAGACACGACACAAAATTTTATGTTTAGAGGATAAATTTATAAAATTTTAATATGTGAAAATAAATTATCATTAAAAAATTCAAAATCTAAATTACATAAAATTAACAGCAATTCAGATCACACACCTCTGACAATATTCCAGAAGACAACATGCAGAAACGGTCTCATGCCGGTAAATACATCAATCAACACAACTTTAACAATGCTTGTCGAAAATCAAAAGGTATAATTTTGCCCTTTACATTTGCTTGCTTATACTGTAATCTTCTGCAAGACCCCTTAATAGATACTACTAATACATGCTCTGTTTTTAGGATTAGATGAAATTGATTGAAGGTCTTTCTTGCTTTCATACACATATTTGACCAGACCGGTCATTGGTTTTAGAAAATGAAACTCTTTTTTTTTTGGCAGCATTTAGAGATTTTACATGTCTTTAAACTTTACAATGGAATCGGTTTCATGGTGAAAAGCCATTGTAGCAGCTGCTGGCCTTTATGAGCTTTACAATTTACATGAATTGCTGCATGACAAAACTCTATTTATGTTCAGTTTTATGCTTTTGTATTGTTAGCTGTGCATTAAACTGTGATTATCTTTGTTGAAGGCCATCTTATTGATAGGAATACAGTACGTGTTGGATGCATTACAATGAAATCACTGAGAATTAATTTTCATTTCCAGCGGATGTACAGATTCTATCAGTCTCTGGGCATAATTCTATGTCGCCTTCGGCGGCAGGGCCACAAATTACTAGCCAATTGCCTAAGCCTCCAACATCTTCTTCCGTTGCTGGACGAAACCTCCGGTTCGGATAAATAGTCACAGCTAGATTGTTCATTGGCGCTGCTTACCGGCAACTCGTAGCGGCAAACGGGGCAAGAATTGTGAAGCCTTAACCAAGGCACGATGCAATCGCTGTGGTATATATGGTTACAAGGCAACTCACTTGCCTCCCCACCGATCTTGAATTCCTCCTTACAAACTGGACACTGCAAATCATGGCGTAGATGTAATTCTGAAACCTTCACGGTTGGGATTGCATCGATTGTTGACTCTGGAGCCGGGGGTAGTCCTGGCCTGTCATTTTGTGTAAGTTGTTCTATCAACTCATTCAGTCCCAGTCCGAAAAAGAAGTTCCTAGGATCAAGACCAGGGCGTGCAGCACCTTCATCTTGGCCAAATGAACCTGCTAGTTGTATGATATCCCAAGCCCTAGGAACACGGAGAGATTCAGGTTCATCAGTTTCATCAGCACTATGGCTCCTGCGCCTGCGAAGATGCTCCATGGGCAAAGTTTGACCTTCGGAGTGAAGTAAATTGTTCGAACGTCTGAACCGAGGCATGCCTCGAGGTACTTGGTTATCTGAATCGCCAGTATTGAATAGCCTGATGGGAGGATCCATAAAAAGAGAGAGTGCTTCCAACCAACGCGCTTCAGGGGATGGATCGAAAGCCAAGAAATCAACAACCATCCTTGGTCTGGGGATTTCCATCTCGCAAACAAACTGCCCGTGACATCGAGGGCAGATGATCTCATGACGATCCGTAGAGGCAATACGGACCGATTGACGGCAGTGGTAACACCAGTAAAGCCGGTAGTTCTTCACAGGGACTGCACCATTGGCCCCATTGGTAGCATTGATGCCACTGAATCTTGCTGCTGGTGGGCTTTGAGACATGGTCTTCCGGATGTTTTTCTTTCGTGTTTTTGATCAATTTGGTTGAGGTTTAAGAAATTATGAAATTGGAAACTAGATATATTATCATACATGTACATGTACCGAGATAGCAGAAAAGCATGGCTTTGTAGTTGTGCATGAAGCAATCCTGTATTTGGGAATTCGGCTTTCTTTTATCAATGTTAGGTTTGGCTATGTGCACACCGTTATCGTACATGCAAAGGAAAGGATGAGAAAAGTTTTTGGCAAAGGGATGTTTGTTGTTGCGAATATTTTGAATTTCCAAGGAATCTAACGGTTGGAAAGAGACGCTGCCATCAAATCATATTAATCTGATTCCCATACGCTTCATCGGTAACCATTCTCAATGTGATGCATTTTATTCCGGCACTAGCCATGGATAGCGTCGCTTCATAAGAATCATAAATGGAGCAAAGAGGATCACCATGGTTAATTAAGCCTAACATGGTTGCAGCAGCCCCCAGGTAAAAATAAATTTGGAATCAATTGTTTTTGGGTCTATGGACACTCCAAGAATCTTTTGGTTTCATGATTAAATTCTACGAATTTTTATTTTGGACGTAATTGCTATAATATTTAATCCATAGTGTTAAAATTAGCCTCTAACATTTAGTAAAACGGTCACATTGAAACATATTTTTTAGAGTATTTTGTCCCAATATTTTATTTTTGGAGAAAAATACCTCTAACGTTTAGTCGAATACTCACTTTGGTCCTTTTTATTTTCTTGGAGCATTTTGACCTTTAACATTTTAATTTAGGGTGAAAACCCTTATTTTAGACCATTAATCGTTTGTTAACTAACAATTTTCATTCATAATGAGCATTTTAGCCTCAAAATGAAATATTGTGAGTCAAAATGTTCCAAAAAAATAATAAAGACAAAAATATCTGTTTAGTTAAATGTTAGAGATATTTTTTAACATCATGCTAATATTTTAATTGTCAATATTAATTTGTATTTTCTCCAAAAAAAAATCATAAAGAAGTTTTATTTATTAATGTGTATTTTTTAAATTTAAAACTACACTCATAATAGAAAGCAATACCATAATCTTAAGGATATTATTATGAAAAATCAGAGCACTACCTAAACAACTATAACCAATAACAACTAAAATACCATGAAGAATAACTACACAATTAAACCAATTTACTTGAGAAAATAACGTTGGTTTAAAATTCATAATTATGTGCATATATGTATAATGTTATTATAAAATATGATGTAAAATTAAATCTTCAATTATTAAACGTGTCATAGATGGTAAAGTGTAAAGAAAATAAAATATAGATATCATAAGTTGTACTTATAATTTAATGGGAGACATAATTATAAACACTAAAAAAATAATTGAATAATTAATGGGTTAACTACACGAATAATCACTTATGTTTGTGTTTTGTCCACTTTTGGTCACTAATTTCAGAAAACATAAGATATGATCATTTTCGTTTCTATTTAATTAAGATGTGATCATCACAAGTTAATTCCTCTTAACAAGTAACATAATATGTGATGTGATAGTTGGTATAATCACACATTTGGTCCATGTTATTTACATATTATCTCAATTTAGTCATAATTTTAAATAAATTTTAACATAAAGTACATATTTTTAAATAAAAATAAAAATAAAAATTATTATATTAAGTTAATAATAAAATATATTTAATACGTTAATATAAAAATATTTTTAAGTTAATATATATAAAATATTATGAATTTAAGTATTTATACACGAATATACATAATATATACACAATGTTGTCTACTTTAGACTAAGTGACCAAGGTTTGAATATTTTTTGCCCCAATTTGCTTTCCTTTGTTTTCTTTCAACATGAGGGTGACACATATCACTCTTTGATTCGTGAAAACAAATATATTAAATTAAAATAAAGTTAGTCCTCCAACCGAATGGTGTCACATGGCATGACATGTGACATCATTCGATTGGAAGATTAAATTTATTTTAATTTATTAAAAGTATAACTAAATTGAGATAATATGTAGAAAATAGGGACCAAATGTGAGATTATATCAAAATATTTAACTATTGTTAAATACAGTTAACTCGAGGTGACTATATCTTAATTAAATAAAAATGAAAGTGACAATATGTTTTTTGAAATCAATGACCAAAAGTGGACAAAACACAAACGTAAGTGATTATTTGTGTAGTTAACCCTAATTAATTATATATATGTAATGGTTCTCAAGAAATATATTAATTTATATTTCTTTCAATCCCATAAGAGAGTTTTACGACAAGAGAAAAATCTATCTTTTTAGAGGTCGAAACTAAGAGACTCAAGGATTTCAATATGCCAATAGATTTATATACGCTTTTGCATCTAGTAATTTTTTTTTCTTGATGATTTGAGTTTTGGATTATTGTTTAAAGAGCTAATTGTACCATACACCCCAAAACTATGAGTCTTATTCTAAATTGGTTCCCAAACTTATGAACTTTCTAATTTCATCTCTAAACTATGACTCCTATTGAAAATCAAATTTTGAACATTTCAAATCCATCCCCAAACTATGACTCTCATTGTAAATTGGTCCTCAAACTTTTAAACATTCTAATAACCTCCCCAAAATCATTCAAAAGTTTGAAGATGCAATTAGAATATTCAAAATTTTGGGGACCAATATAGAATAGGGTCATAATTTGAAGATAAAATTGGAATGTTAAAAAATTTGGGTTCCAGTTTAGAAGAAGAGTCATAGTTTAAGGATGAAATTAGAATGTTTAAAAGTTTGAGTATCAATTTAGAATGAGAGTCATAGTTTGAAAATGAGTGGTGCAATTAACTCTTGTTTAATGTATTAAAATAATTTAATTTAATTTAATATAAATATTAATGTAATTTTTGTTATTTTAAACAATGACATGTTTGCGGAAACTATTTTACTCCAGATTGAACTTGAAATGGGTTTGGTGGACCATTCAGTCAGATTGTGGGAAAAGAGGCTTGTGAGAGCTGCTGCTGTTTATTTCCCATTGAAAGGCAATGAAAATAAAAAATCCTGCAATACTTTGTGATATGAATATAGACAAGAAACAAATGAGCAGCTTTCATTTTTGCCATTATGACAAGTTTAATGAAAACTGACCATCTTTGCATGCTGTTTACTCTAAACTAAAATGCCGTATGAAAATGCAGAACTTGAGGAAATATCCTTCTCTGAGAGGACAGCACATTAATTAAGATGAGATGGTCCAACCATGGACCCACTCTTCTAACAACACATCATGGGTGGGTTCCCAACTCCCAAGTTCTAACAGGCTCAGGCTTGTGAACGCCACAGCTTCCTTTCCCAAATTTCCACCATCTCTTGTTTGTTTTTGCAAGCTCTACTCTCTGCCACACTTATAATGCTGTGGTTCACTCTCATTATTCTCTTTTTCTCTCATGTTAAGTTGCTTTCTTTTCCTTTCAAAGTCTCAATCATTTATTCTGTGTCTGTTAAGTGTGCATTCACGATGAATAGAACTTTTGAGCTGTTCTTTCAAGCATGTTATCTTAAACATGTACGATAGGAATATGACTTAATTATAAAATAACTGTCCAAACTATAGCGATTTTTATGAATAGGTGTTTAATCTATTTTTTGAATCATTCTGATATCTAATGTTATAAATGCTATCACTAGGTGTTTGGACCATCAATGGCGTTAATTTACTTCGTTAAGTGATGCTTGTCACAATCTAATAAATTTAAAAATTTTGTTTAAAATTTTAAAAAATAAAACTATTTTAAAAACACATAGAAATTTTGACATAACCATAAAACTTTGAAACCCTTATTTCAACCATTAAATTCACGTCGGTCGCCACCCTTTGCCGTTTACGAAGTTCCACTCGACCTCACATCCACCTAACGACCAAAACACCTATGAAATTATGATCGAACGACGTTTTATATCACGTGAACCCTATAATAAAAATCACAAACCCACATGATTCTGACGGCCAATCGGGAACAACTACGGTGGCGTATGACTAAGAAGATGGCAAGAACTACATCGACGATGGTGATCGTGGTCGGAAAGGGTGGCGGCGGTAGGCTAATTTTAGGATTTGGGGATTTCAGGAATTTGGAGCTTTTTTTTTAATTTAATAGAAATTAGGTTTTTTTATAAATATAATAATATTTGGCAAAAGGGTGCCTGAGGGCCCTGTACTTTTTCAAAAAAAAAACAATATAGTCATCGACTTTTTTTATACTCATGTGACCCTCGAACTTATAAAAAAAACTTAACGTGGCCCTTTAACCAACGATTTTCGTCGTTGACTTTTACGATACTAACGTGGAACTTCACGATGTTGATGTGCTGATTCACAGTGCTAACATGACAATCCACAATGGCTAGTGAAGTGTCTGATGATGTGGCAGATGGATTAAATTGTTTTTTTAAGTTCGAGGGTCAAATCAATTTTTTAAAGTTTAAGGGTTTATTTGATTGTTTTAAAAAATAAAATATTTAAAATTTAAAATATAAAATATTAAAGATAAAATACTAAAAATAAAAATATTAAATTACTAAAAAATTAAATATATATTATTTTTAAAAAAAATAAAAATAAAATAAAATTCATATTAGAATTCGCCTCTAAATTCTAATGTGAATTTTATTTATTTTTATTTTGTTGAAACATACATGTTATTTCTTGAAAAAAAATTAAAAAAAATAAATATTGGGGTGACAAAAGAATCTCAAACACGTGGAGTTCATATTTACCTTGACTTTATAGAATTGTATCTAATAGAAATTGACGGCATAATTCATATTTCTTCTTTTCCACAAGACCGAGTTTAGGTCAAGTTTACTTCCCTCTATCATGTAAAATTCACTAAAAATGGTCCTTTTAATTGGATGATTATTTTTTATTACATAGTTTAATGATAATTTATAATTTTAACTCTATAATTTTTAAATTTTATTTTTTATAAGACTTTATAATATTTATTTAATTCATTTTATAAAATTTTAGTGAAATAGAATTTAGAAATACCCCTAGAATTTAAGATAATTGGATGTAAATCTATAAAATAAAATTTGTTTAGGATGAATGAATTTAGATTTATATAAATAAAGGCAAAAAAGTATACGAGGCCTGTGTACTTTTCCAAAAAACTAGTGTAGTCTTCGACATTTTTTTACACTCAATGTGGCTCTCGAACTTATAAAGAGAACTCAATATGACTTTTTGACCAACAGTTTTCGTCGTTAGCCGTTACGATGATGACGTGGATACTTCACGATGCTGATGTGGTGATCCATTGTGTTGACATGGCAGTTCGTAGTAGTTGTTCACGTGGCTGATGCAGTGGCTGATGGACTAAATTATTTGTTTTAAGTTCGAGGGTCAAATTGATTTTTCTAAAATAATTTAAGGGTTTATTTGATTATTTTTAAAATAAAATATTTTAAATTCAAAATATAAAATATTCAAAAACTTAAATATAATAATACCAAAAATAAAAATTAAATAAAATACATTAGAATTCACCTCTAAATTCTAATATGAATGTTATTTTATTTTTATTTTGTTAAGATATATTTGATATTCCTTAAATTTTATTTTTATTTTAAAAAAATAATATATATTTTTTTTAGTAATTTAAATTTTATTTTTGATATTTTATATTTATTTTTAATATTTTATATTCCAAATTTAAAATATTTTTATTTTTTAAAACAATTAAATAAGCCCGTAAACTTAATAAAAATCGATTTGGCCCTCGAACTTAAAAAAAACTAATTTAGCCCATCAGCCATGTCATCAGTCATTGTGGATTAGCATGTCACCACTGTGGATCACCACATCAACACCGTGAAGTGTCACAACATCATCGTAACGGTCAACAACATAAATCATTGGTCAAAGGGCTACACTAGATTCTTTTTATAAGTTTGAGGGTCACATTAAGTGCAAAAAATATCAAAGGTCACATTGGGTTTTTTTTTTGAAAATGTACAAGGGCCTCAAGTACTCTTTTGCCTAATATTTTTAATTTTTTTTCAAAAATAAATTTAAAAATTACCAGAGTATGACAAGTGCTACTTAACGGAGAAAATTAACGTCGTTCATAGCTCAGACATCTAAAGTGATAACGTTTGTAACGTCAGTCACCGAGATTATTCAAAAAATATTTTAGGCACTATTCATGAAAAGCGTTATAGTTTAGTAACTTATTTTATATTTAAGCCTAGGAATATATCTATTTTTTACAATAAATTCTCATATAAATTTAAGGATTACCCCAAAACAGCTACCGAAATTAAGAATCCACTCCTCATTGATTATATAATCTTCACTGAGAGTAACTAGAACTTCACTATTATCGTAATCTTCCACTATATTAGTTTTTTTTTTTGGATTTCTCTGGTTGTATTCTCTTGTGATCCACAATATCCTTTCAATTTTTATTTAGTAGCTTGTAGCACTCAGCCTTCATGTGCTCATTTTTCTTGTAATAACTTATTTTTCATACATGAATCAAATTATTTTTAGAGGTCATGGATTCAAACACTAGCGATTACGGCATGGTGATTAAACATTCGTTGTCAAATAATTAAATAATATTTAAAATATATATTATTTTATAATCACTTAACTTTATTTATATATATATATATATATATAATACATACATATTCTTGTGTGCTTGGATTTCGAGCTAGTCTTAACATCATTGTGAAAACTCTTGTGTTCTCTCGTGAACAATAAGACATTCTCTTACATTCGTTGTCAAATAATTAAATAGTATTTAAAACATATATTATTTTATAATCATTTAATTTAATATATATATATATCTTGTGTGCTTGGATTTCGAGCTAGTCTTAACATCATTATGAAAACTCTTGTGTTCTCTCGTGAACAATAAGACCTTCTCTTAGAGAGTCAAATCCACCTTGAGATGTTAAAATTAGAAAATTTATTTTGGGTGTTAAACTTAGAAATTATATGAATTTTTTTAAGTGAATAAAAATGAATAATGAGTATCTATTTATGTTTAAAGGTATCAATATTCTTTTAAAATATGTTTATTTTATTTTAATTTTAAACATTTTTATATTAAATTTATAAAAAAAAAACTTTAAAAAAATTGGGTGTCATTTGACACCCCTCGTAATAGGCTGGATCCGACTGTGATATGATTTATCTTGTTATACAAGGCTAAAATGTCATGAACTTTATCAAAGTCATGAACAATAAGATCACACACAAAATGTAAGATTTAATGTGATTCGACATTACATACCTTTAAGAATGAAAAAAAATAACAATTCACTATAAAAATATTCATTTATCAAAGTTGCGTCGAATCGTCTACTATAAAGGAATAAAAGAGAGAAGAAGAAGACATGAATTTTGTACATGTAACAAGCACGGTGGAATTTGAAGGTTTTGTGAATATATTATTCAAAGTGCTTATTGAACCCATACTGGGTTGCTTAACATATTTTATATAATAATACATATGACTTTGTTACTTATTCTCAAATGCCAAGGTAACTCAAATCATGAGATAATGAGTACAAAAGAAGAGTCAGACATATAGAATATCTACAAATATGTGTATGTGGAAGGAGGTGTAACCCCACAAATCAATGCCACTTGACATTGGCACCTGTTCATGGAAAACCCCACCAGACATTAAATAAATTAATAAATTAATTTTTAAGTTCAAGTTGAGTTTATTAATTTTACATGATATATGTATATAATATATTAAATAAATTATGTTATAAAAAAATCTATCCAAAATTGATCAAACATAATTGTTCGAACTCAAAAACTTGAAAGAGAATACTCTCTTTCATTATTAAACCTACTCAATAAGTACAATCTAATTCATCCCCATCAAATACTCACCCTTATACACATATAATGTGGCAATAAAACTAGTTTGAGACAAAGTGTAATGAAGTTGGATTAGTTTTCTAAAGTGCAAACTTCAGTAAAAATCAAGATTTGTCAGATTTTTCATATTTCGTAGAACCTTGGATGAAGACAAAGCAGAGAACTCCACTGCCATGAAAAATTCCAATTGGATGCAATATTTGTGCTTGGCTTTGGAATCCACACGATGAAGTGAAACGAAGTTATGGGTGCAACTCTGTCTTCCATCAAACAGGGTACACAATTTGTTATTAACTAGTCTCTTCGATGGTCGGAAAAATTTGTCCCATTACAAACATTAGAAGAAGCTTGATTTTAACATTAATTTCAGTGTCGAAAAACGTGCCCACTGAGTTGACATTTCTGTTGTGAACGCCATGAATATCAGATGATGATATCTTACATGCTTTAATTGCCTTGCGCCGATCGACTTCACATAACTGAAAGCAGTAATTATTTAGCAAAACAAAGATAGAATTTTGCTACATCCGAAACAAGAAAATAATCCCAGTTAAAACCCTGTATAGATGACAACAAAACAGGGCAAAATAGCCTTAGGATTAAACACATACAACTCATATAGTTTGGAGTAGACCCCAAAATCTCCCCCAACTGAGTCGTAATCCTCCATGCTACCTTCCATGCTCTTCTGAACTCTCCCGGCGATCACCCTGCAAACGAGCATTGCCCTCTTTTCATTCCCATCTTCAACTCCGACCGCTTTATCATGAGCTTTGCCACTGGTTGCCGTCGTGAGAATTCCTTTTCCATTGGCTTCTTGAACCACCTTGAAACCATTCTTTATAATGCTGCACACGATGCAGTTTGGGATTGAGTTGCATAAGTTGGAGGAGCCGTTGAGGCCGAGTGAACATGAAAAAGTGGTGCAGTGGAACCGGAGGAGCTCGTTGCCGTCGGCTATGCAGCGCGGGTGCTTTTTGGGGAGCTTAGTCGCTTTTGATTTGATGGAGTCTCGGTATTCTTCGAATTTGGAGATGGTTCTTGGGGTGTTGTGGACTTTGAGAATTCGAACTATTTTGCAGATGGGCGTTTGTTTCTTTAACCAGCTTGATTGGAATATGATTTCCACTATGTTCTTGCTGGTGTCCTCAGGACCCAGTTCAGATACTGTTGATAAATATGCCAGGAAGCAGCAAAATCAGATTAAGAAACTTGTAGTATATACGAAAGCTGAAATTGCAGGGAAGATGGTTTACCTGCATGTCTAGCAGCTTGATGAAGCTCCAAATGTTCAGCTTTCATGAAAATCTCACCACATTCAGGGCAGGAGCAAATAGAAGTCCTCAAGGAAGGATCTTTGGCCATTCCAAGGACTGGATCAACCACCATTCGGCACTCGTAACAGCCGGAGAATCTCCTGAATGGCATTCCTCTGAAAGAACCACCACCGCCAGCGGAGGAGGCTGATGGCGCCGAAGATAAAGAAAGCGAAGAATTCGTTGAAGAAACAACACCATTGAGTTCATGTAGAGGAGCTTTCATGGATCTGCTAGAAGAAGAAGCTTGAAGTGATGAAGATGACGATGGTGGTGCCTTTTTCTTATGGACTTCAGGCGAAGAAACTGCTTCAGGCTTTTGCATGACCTTGGTGTTGCTACATAATGAACCCGAACACCGCATTTTCTTGCATTTCTTCCCGCTTTCTTCCACCACCTGCTGCTCCTTTTGCTTTTGTTTTTGCTTCTGCTGCTCTTGTTGATGCTGGGGAATTTTGCCAAAGAAAATGCCTTTGACAACCGCCCAAGGCGGTAGTTTGTCAATCTTCTGAGGCCGCTTCTTCTGGTTTCGGCAAGTGCTCATGCTTGGTTTTCTTTGATGAGATGGTCCAGCCATTTCCACAGAGATGTAGACAAAATGATTTTTTTTTAATCAGAATCTCTGATGGACTGTCCTGGAGAGAACTGCAGAGATGCTTCTTGCCTACTCACTCGGTTTTAAGATTTGGAAGTTTTGAGGGTACTATTATTTTGGAATTTATTCGTGGGTAACTACATATTTAATACCTAATTTATTACTTTTCTTCTGTTTTAGTACCTAAACTTTATATTTTTTTAAATTATATCTAACCGTTAGTTTAGTTTTAATTTGGTATCCTACCATTAAAAATTTAAAAAAACTAATAACATGATATTTTTTTTATTTTTTCAATAATGATATGATACTAACTTATGATAACACATCAACATCGCCTTTAAATTTTAAACGGTGGGTGTCAAAATGAAACATAAGCTAAAAATTAGTTATGATTTTAAAAAATAAATTTGAGTATCGAAACTAAATAGAATAATATTTTAGATACTAAACTTATAGTTTACCCATTTTATTTATATAAAGGGTTTTTAATTTAATTAATCTTTCTCTAGATTTACTCATGGCAACTCCAAGCCGTTGATCTATCATCATAGACACATGGATCATCTCTCTACGAGAAACGAAATGTGGGTCCCATCATTAAATTACATGAACAGAACCTCCTTTGTTTTTCGATGTATAAACTCTCAAGCTCCAACTCGAGGTGGGAGGGAAGGGATTGTACGAAATGTAAGAGAAAGCAAAATGAGAATTACCGGTGGTTATTTACAATGAAAATTTAATATAAATAATAATAAACTAATAATCAGTTTATTTAGTTAGATAAAGTATTAGGTTGGAATTTTAATTTTGGTGTTTGTGAATAGATCAAATTAGGTTGGTAAGGTTGTTCTCGCAATACTCAATCTAGATTAGTTGATTAATAAATTATATATTAATAATTAATTCAAAAATATAAATAATAATAAAATTAAATGATAAATTTAAATAAATATTACGTTTCGTATAATTATTGATTTAGAAATGATTTTATTGTGATCAGAATATTGATGATGTTGTCATAACCATTTTTTTTCAAAATAATTTCTTCTCGTTTTAAAAACAATTACGACTTTAATTTTGAAAAATATGTGATTTTGAATTAAATTGGATAGAGTCGTCATCGATCTTTGGGTTAGGTAGGTCGAATACCTAAAAACTTCTTTTAAAAAAAATCATTTTTTAAGACAAAAGTTGGTATGCGTTTACCAAAGATTCGATTAAAACGGGTTCGGAAGTCGATTACACGTGGTGAAGGATTAGCACCTCCACAGCGCCCAAATTTTGGTACCTAAACGATTATATATATTTTTTAATTGGGAATTGCTAACTTAAAAAATATATTTAAACTACGATATTGTTATTTATTTGAATTTATTTAAAAGATATCAATTTTCAAAAACAATTGAAATAATAAATGCAATGAGTCAAAAAGATTAAAGAGTCCGAAATATATTTTATAGAATACAACCATTTATTTAATCAAAAATTATAATTATTTTTATAGGAGATAATACAAATATATATATATATATATATATATATATTTAATATAATACAAAACATGCTTAATATATGTAACAAATTGAAAAAATATTGTACGTACATAATATATACATATTTAATGGAAGTAACTATTTATAAGGGATAGGTTATATATATATTTAATATAATACAAAACATACTTTAACATAGGTAACAAATATATATATAAAAAAAGGTATACTGTACGTACATAATATATACATATTTAATAGGAGTGACTATTTATGAGGGAATTTACATATATATGTCTAATAAAGATGCTTTTATTATACGTTAAAACACAAATATATTTTTGGTAATAAATTGTAATATATATTTATAGCATAATATTTACACCTATTTATTTTTTAGGCTATAATATGAACACATAAATAAGGTAATTAAGAACATATCATATTTTAAGTTATAGTGGGAAATCAAAGGGATCATGACATGAATTAAGGAAACAAACATTTAAAAGGAATGTAAAAATCATGCATAAATATAAAAACCAAATATTTACAGTGAAAAATAAATGTCATAATATTAAATGACAAAAGGGGAAATAAAAAAATTAGAAACTATATATTCAATATATGAAAATTTTCCATTTAAGCAAGCAACAAGGGTGGTGATTGAAATAAAAGAACCTTAAATTAAAAGACAACAATGAAATATTGGAACTTAAAAGGAAATAAAATATTAAAATTTAAAGTAACGGAAATATAAAAAACATAAACATTAAATTTCATAAAATTAAAAGTTAGGTGTTATTAAGCAATAAAATAAAAATATTAATTGTCTAACAACAGTAACAAAATAAAAATTTAGTATATTAGCTTAAATCAATAACATAAATATAAGGATATTAGTTCAAACAATAAAGTAGCAGTTAGAAGGTTAATGACTAAAATAAGATATATATACAAATAGGAAGTCGAAATCAGAATAACTGAAATATAATATATAATTGACTAATGACTAAATAAGAATTAATGAAACTAAACCATCTAAAATAAAATAAAAATAAAACGTATAAATTTCAGTGAATGTAAAACACAGTTAAAACTGAAATGGCTTCAATATAATTTTTCCATTTTTCTTGCCTATAAAAATCACATTTTAACCATTAGGTAAAACCCTAGCCTCTCTTTTGTTATTACTTTCATTTTTTCTCTCAACACTCATCTTCCCTCTCTACTCACCACACCGACGAACCTCTTTTTAGGCCCCAATAAAAACGGCCGGCCACCATATCTTGGTGGCCGGATCTAACTCCGAAGACTCCTCTCTTTTCTTAGTCTCTAACCCACGATCCTCTATCGAAGGAAAACCGAGATTTCAAAGGGAAAAAAAACTCATCTTTCATTTGTTTATATCTTATATTTAAAAAAAAAATACATGTACATAAAAAATATACCTTGAAAGAAATAGTGGATCGTGTTTTGTATTGCTTTCTTTTTTTCTGAAATTCTGGATTTTTATTGATAGATTTCGAATGATTTACAAGATACCTTTTGTTTTCTCACTCAAATATTTTCTCTTATTTTTCTAATCGATTTTTTCTCTTTTTTTTCTGTTCCTTCCTCTTTGGTCTGTTCGAACCCTTTAATTTATGCTTGGTCTCTTCACCGAATCTTCATGTCCGTATCTGCATTTTCTTTGTTTTTGGTAAGATACTGACTAGTTTAGGTAAGAGTTGTTGGATTTGCTTTTGACTTTGGTTTGTGTTTGTCTCTCCATCACTGTTGATATGGACTCTGATCGGTGATGGCTCGGGGCTCAGCGATCGGCTCAAACGGTGGCTGGAGATTATTAGCGCGCAGTAGTGGTTGATGAAATTAGGGTAACAAACCCTAAATAGCTTTGGATCTGGCATAAGGCTCCAACCGGGTTGAGTACTTTGGGCTTGTAATTGGGCTCTGAGTATGGCTTGAATTGGGCCCTGAATTAGCTTGTATTGGGCCTGTAAAAGTTATAAACAAGATTAATAATAATAATAATAATAATAATAATAATTAATAATAATAATTTTTAAATGCTCGGACAAAAACGGGTGTCTACAGCTGCCCCTCTTTGCACATTCTTATGTTAACAAGAATAGGGCAAAGACAAAAAAACAACCAGTTTTTGTCCCCTTTTTTTTTGAAATTTGATAGTGTTTGATTTGGGAAACGACACTGCTCATACGTGATGAAGAGTTCGGGTCGTCTAAGGGTGACAAGACTCCTACATAATGAGAAGATCTAGTCAAGGGATGGCACTGCTCATACGTGATGAAGAGTTCTTGGCCATCTTAGGACAAGTGATAACTCGGTTCCTTTGTGATGAGGACGATTGGTTATCTAAGTTGACATAGCTCCTACATACTGAGGAAATCTAGCCAGGTGATGACATGGCTCATACGTGATGAAGAGTTCTGGCCATCTAAAGGTGATAAAACGGCTCATACGTGATGAGGACGGCTGGTTATCAAAGGTTGACACGACTCCTACATGATGAGGAGATCAGGTCGGGTGATTACACAACTCATACGCGATGAAGAGTTTTGGCCATCTAAAGGTGATAACACGGTTCCTACGTGATGAGGACGGCTGGTTATCTAAAGTAACATATTTCCAACGTGATGAGGAAAGTTGGTCGTCACTGCTTATACTTTGATGAATCTTGGTTATCCAGAGTTAACATGGCTCCTGCGTGATGAAGAAATCTGGTCATAGCTGATGATGATTGATTCATTGATTCAATGACGATATAAATCTTAAAGATCCTGTAAAAAATGTCATATGCCATGATTTCATGCCTTAAAGATGATCTAAATATATGTGAGTTGTCATGCATGTTAAAAGGGTTATGCGTAAATTGAGACTGACAATTGGGCTTTCTCATGCTCTTTGATCGGAACACATGAAGTTTCTGCTTTTTCCAATGTTTAGGTTATGACTGTGAATTACTTTCTTAACCTCTCGTTCATGAACTTGAATTCTATGATCCCCCGAGAAAGTTTATCTTGCTTTGCTGATTCTTTGGCCACTAGTTGATTTTCTGAGAAATTAAATCAGAATGAATGACTTTTCTTCTTGCTCTTCTTCAAATTGGGACTTCTTTGCTTGGGAAAGGTAAGATTAGGTTAAAACTGATTTACTCAATTTAACCTTTCTTTCTCAATGATCATATTTTTGTATATGCTCTCCGATAAACACCTGTTTTGAAATCCCCAAACTCTGACACTTTTTAGTGTAAAGCATAATAAACAATGTTGTTATTGATCACTGTTTTAGTGATTGAATAATGAATCAAACTCAAAAATTTCATTTAAAAGAGGCAATGAAAAAGTATAATCCTTTAAAATAAGAAACAAGTAAACATTACAGGCAGAACAAATGAACAAATACAGTGGATATCAAATATTGAATCACTATATTTCCTCATCCAAATATTTCTTGAAAGTTGACACGTGTCTCGAAGATTCAGATCGTACAAAAGATGTGTGAGTATGAGAATTTTCCCTGAACTGTTAGGCTTTCGAGGGAATA